AGTTATATATAATATGTAAATAATTGTATATCTCAAAAGTAGTTATATATAATATGTAAATAATTGTATATCTCAAAAGTAGTTATATATAATATGTAAATATTTGTATATCTCAAAAAGTAGCTATATGTAATATGTAAATAATTGTATATCTCAAACTTGTTTCATTTTCCTTAACCTTTTGTTGGGTACACAGTTTAAATGTCTTAAAAATGGATTGATTATTCACAGTGGCAAATCATATGCTTGTATTTTTGTGTTACTTGGGTATAAAAGTAACTGAAAGCTGTGATGGTCTAAACATCCAAAAAATACAAACTTACAACTACATATAAAACCCCAAATATTGAACTACTTTTAAATATTTTGGAGTATTGTGCCACACACACATACACCCATATATGCAATAGGTATGTTATTTACTTGTCCGCAATAATTTAGTTTTCAAGCAGAGTTTATCTAGGTGGAGCCACTAAAATGGCAAATTTTGTGGAGTGATTATGTAGCTGAAATAGTTGGTGTATAGAGACAACTGTAACCAAAAGAAGCTAAGATTGATTAGTAAAATTAGGTAACCCTTTCATAAAGAAAGTTTTCTAGAGAGGTTGAGTTCCAGTATAAAAAAAAGAACAATGTTTTTGAATGGAGCCCCCTACCGTCATAAAAATAAACGTTTGTCGCTGCAAATATCTATAAGATTTGTGGGGAAAGAAAAAGAGACAAATGTAGCGATGTCATTTTGAATACACTTCACAGATTAATCATTCTTGTGAAGATAAAAAAAAAATGTTGGCAGGTACTTTGAAAAAGCTAGAACGATTTTCGTCAAATAATATTCAGGCTCTAGTATTATACAAAAGTTTTTTATGCTTAAAAATTCTTTACATCAAACTCAAAGTTTTGAAGCACTCATTTAGCTAGTTCTGTATTGTCAGTAGGACCAAATAGTTTACAGGGTTTATTTTCACTTCCCCCTCCCCTAACCTTTGTCAATCAGCGATAAAGTGGTATATTACGCTTAAATTGGAGGTCCGATCTCCCGATAGGCATAGCACAGATATCCACTTTTGTGGCATTGTGCCTTAATAACAAAGAAATAGAATTGTTTTCACTCGACGTAAGATCTGTTAACGTGCCAGAGACGAAATGAAAACCATATAACTAATAAACTTTACTGGTATTTTACATTGTAGTCGGTAAACTAGATGATAATATCCAATTAATAAATGAATAATAACACCATAACCCGAGCGTTTTCGAAAGGTGGACCTTTCTTCTTCAGGGGCAAACTGGGAATTAATAAATTAATAAATATCACACAGAAAATATGTCTGAAAAGTTCTTTTTTGGTGGGGGTGTATAATGGCGGGTTAACTCATGTTTACTAATTTCTATAAATGTTTTTAATAAACTATAAGCTTCTGTTGCTTATTGAAGATATCTCTGATGTGAAATTATATACTAGTGGTTTTCGTTATTCTAAACTTTTGAGGATTAACGAATAAAAGAAGTGTTCTTTGACTATATTGTTTTCATATTATTCTCGTGTGTGGGGGTTCTGTTATCATTGAGCTAAGCCTATAAATCGACAGATCAAATGCTTTTACACACCTAGAAATGTAACGACTTTAATTTATAAATGTGCATTATAAATCCGACAAAACAAAACACACTCAAAATGTATATAAACTAAATATATTAAAGAGGAAAGTCATAGACAAAAACATATGTTAAGTAGTGAAGTTAATAAAGCATTTTTTTCCATTTCTTTTATTATACGGGGACACTATAAGTTAATACCATTAATGTCTGGAATAAAATATTTAACTATTCTTCAGTTGTGACTTTTACACTTGATTAATCTTAAAAATTGTATTTCATGAATGTGAAATATTTTGTTTATATCTGTCTGTCTGTCTGAAGTGTATGTGATAGTAATTACATTGCAAAACTTAAAGATAAATAAAGTACGCGCTGCAAAATTACAAAGTAGGTGGAGATGTCGTTCGTATTCATTCTAGAGAAGAGTTAAGACGTTTCAGAGAATCCAAGACCTATTTTTCTAATGCTGTATGTTTCACCTAGCAACCATGTTTATTCACATTATACAGTAGATAATACATTATGTACAAGTAAAGTTTCGCGACGTATCTTTTACTTCGGTTTGAAAAAAATTGTTAAAACCTGAACAAAAGCAATATTTGTGATTTAACAGTACATGCAGTTAAGTGAACTGACTAAGTCAATATTAAAAAAGATATATATATATATATATATATATATAATTTTGATACATAGGAGAAGCATTGTGAACATTCGTTCGACCCCATTCACAGAATCACCGGCTGGAAAACCTGATATTTGAAAGATCCAGTTGGCAGAGACGTATATAGAGTAAAAAAACACAAGTTTTTAGTCATTCCGCAGTGACATTCCTTTTATAAACTGCTTAGTGAAGCAAGAGATGAAATGTAATATCTTTTTTTTGTCTTTGATATGTGATATTTGTTATAGGTATCATATGTTAGGAAATAGCGATTCAAAATATATATTTTGTCCGCTATTCAACTATATATGAATGTAGCAGCGTTTATAGTAAATCTCACACTTCTAAGATAAATGACAGTTAGGTTAGATAGAGATAGGGGCGGAGCCAGCCTCTTCCCGGTTGAGTTAAACAACATACTGAGGAGTGTGCACTCTTTAATCTTGTGGAAACGTACCGTAATATTTACAAAGTGAGCATTGGTCGTTAGGTGTAGGGACGACAAGGAAGACTAAGGCACAGAAATGTTTAGCTTCGCCGCCCCTGAATGAATAGACACGAGTCAAGTTGAACATGGTGTGTAAGGCTCGATATAACCGATTTTGATACCTGTAACATTGTTTACTGTGCATATCACGTGTGTAAGGCTCGATATAACCGATTTTGACACCTATAACATAGTTTACTATGTATATCACGTGTGTAAGGCTCGATATAACCGATTTTGACACCTATAACATAGTTTACTGTGTATATCACGTGTGTAAGGCTCGATATAACCGATTCTGACACCTGTAACATGGTTTACTGTGTATATCACGTGTGTAAGGCTCGATATAACCGATTCTGACACCTGTAACATGGTTTACTGTGTATATCACGTGTGTAAGACTCGATATAACCGATTTTGACACCTGTAACATGGTTTACTGTGTATATCACGTGTGTAAGGCTCGATATAACCGATTTTGACACCTATAACATAGTTTACTGTGTATATCACGTGTGTAAGGCTCGATATAACAGATTTTGATACGTATAATATAGTTTACTGTGTATATCACGTGTGTAAGGCTCGATATAACATATTTTGATACCTGCAGATGTACTGCCGCTGGTGTTGGTCTTCCAGAAAGAAACTAAACATAGTTTCCGCTGTGATGTTTAGGATTTGTTCTATCTTCCGAATGTCCGTGTTGAACTGAACCTTTAATCCCAGTTTTATTCTGTAGTCGTCAAGATATTTTAACATGATATCGGCCTAGAAGGAAAAAGAATGAACCTTATATGATAATGTCGTGTCAAGAGAAAATAACTTATAACTACTCTCAATAATGATGTCAGTGTACGTTAAATATAACATCAATATGTTGTTAGACGTCACAGAAAGCACTTGGAGACAAACACTTTATATAGATAATGAAATGGGCGTAAGCTGTGTAAAATATTTCACAACCCATTAGGTGATGAAAATTAATTTATAGTGTAATTTTAATACCAATAAAAATAAACTAAATGAAGGAAGAGCTATTTATAACACTATTTAGATACTTCTAAAATGTGTTAATATACTTATGCTATTCTGAGCTTTAAGAACACTTTTTTTCCAAACCTTTTAAGTATAGTAGTCTCTTCTAATATAACACAAAGATATGTGGTTGTATGATGTCAAATAAAAAATAATTTAATTTATATAGTAAAAATTCTTCAAAAAAATCTTATTCCCGCAATAGGTTTCCCATGACTTCTGGGCTATTAAGCGCATCATGCATGATTTTTAGGCAGTTAAAAGCAATTTTTCGATATTTGTAACAATTCCATTGATTTGGATAATTCCCGCTAAAAAAGCACTGTTTTAAAATCTAACGGTTGTCCCGAAAGTGCGTAAAAGCACTAAGAAATTCAGGTTTGCCTATGCACATGGTAGAGAAACCTAGAACTTTTTTCAGAGCCACTTGGTGTGACTAGCATTTCAAGCTGTTGATAATTGTTAAAAAAAGAACGTGTTCCATGTGACTTAGGTCAATAAGTTATGTGTGAAAAAGAATGTAATATCAAATGTAATATATATGGTGAAAACTATATTGAAGAACCTCAGGGACTGCTTAAGTTTTTGTTTCTCATGATATTTCGCTCAATACCAAGCTTAGTATTTATGATCCAATCTGACTGATATTTTACAATATCTGAGGAAAAATTTCATTTTCATCCTTTTACAAAAATGCACAAATTGATCCAAATCTGGATGCTTACCATATATTCACCATGAAGAGACAGTGACTTTGATGTACTACTTGATCCAAACCTGATATATACTCGTTACCAAGTGACAATGATTTTGATGTACTACTTGATCCAAACCTGATATATACTCGTTACCAAGTGACAATGATTTTGATGTACTACTTGATCCAAACCTGATATATACTCGTTACCAAGTGACAATGATTTTGATGTACTACTTGATGCCAAACCTGATATATACTCGTTACCAAGTGACAATGATTTTGATGTACTACTTGATACCAAACCTGATATATACTCGTTACCAATCGACAAATTGATTTTA